ACAACCCCGGGCGCCCACGGTTAGGAGAGCTGGGGGTCGGACCCCCCCTACCCTACCCAGCCCAGCCCTCCGGGTGCAGGAGCAAGGGCGCCCACCTCGCTGGAGTCTTCCTGCTGGTTGATGACGGTCAGGGCATCCTCGGAGGCCTGGCGCTTGGCCTCGGCCAGGGCCCGCTCCATCTTGGCCCGCTCCGTCGTGATCAGCTCGTGGGCTTTCCGCTCGGCGTCGGAGACGGCTTTCTGGAGCTCGGACATGGCCTGGCGCTTCACCTCGTTCACGGCTTCTTCTGAAAGGAAGAGCACAAAGCGAGGCGGCCATCATGGAGCCCCCGGGGAGGGGGCTGAACCTGGAAGAGACCCCCCCCCCGCTGGTGGTGGTGCCCCGGGGAGAGCTGGGGCCACCGAACCGGGACTCCCCCCCCCAACAGAGCCCAGAAGGAACCAGGCAGAAATCACTTGGGGCGACAACTGACTCGCTGTTAGGTTTGCCTCCAAGCCGGGGATATATCTGCCCCCCCTGCCCTCTGGTAAAAGTGTCTTTCACAAAAATCATGGGAGGAAAGAATTATATTTTTAAACCTGCCAGTATAATGGCTCCAATCTTACAATAGTTTTAGAATACAGGGTGGACTTTGGAGGCTTGGAAAGACAAAAGCAATTAACGTGTGTCCCCCCCCTCCACTTTCCCAGGGTTGCTCTCCAAAGGGTGTGACAATCAAGTTTGGCGGTTGGCAAACTCAAGGCAGTGGCTTCTGTCAACTGACGTTTCCTCCCCACTCAAGGGCCAGCAGGCTTGGGGGGGGGAGGCTCTTGGGGATGTTTGCCTGGGGGACAGTCGGTTGGTGACTCAATAATCAACAGTGGCCCAAGCTGGCTGGAGGGTGAGGAGAAGTCTCCTCCTCCTGGGAGGCATCTGGTGGAGCCGGAAGCTAAAGGGAGCTGCACCACCCTGTGGTTATGAAGAAGGCCGTAGGATGGGGGCCAGGCCAGGTGGAGCCGTGGATGCGAGAGAGCAGGGGCCAGAGAGCCTTGGATCCCTGCTGAGTGTCCGGTCAGAGTTGGGCTTCCTGGGGCAAGAACTCTCCAAATCCCACCGCCAGCACCCCAAAAAGTAACCTTCCCATAGATTGTCTCCGTGAAGCAAATCCCAGCCAAGCCAGCTCAGAGGCATCGCGCTGAGCAAGAAGAGCAGAGGTGGTTTCCGACGAGACTCACCAGCTTTCCTCCAGATTTCCTCTGGCATGTAACCGGACAGAGGCCTGGACACGAACTCACGATGAGGGTCTGAGGAAAAGAGAGACGGAGGAAGCCCACTCTGAAAGGCCTCTGAAAGGACGTTGCGAAAAGGAAACCTTTGTGCCAATTTAGCCGTGCGTTTGAAAGACGCCCTTCCAACGGGCAGAGCGTGCCCTCCAGGGAGGCGCTCTGCCTCGGCCGGCCTGTACGGTTGCTGTCCCTAGAAGCAAAGAGCTGCATCTGGGAGCCCCACCCTAGGCTTAACTTTACAACAACCCTGTGAGGTAGCTCAGACAGAGAACGAGGCCACTCAGACAGAGGCCTTTCCAGTTCTGCCTCCCTTCCTGGGGCACTGCTCTCGCCCACTATGCCCCAGTTCCCCAGCAATATGGGTCTGGATAAACAAAGGGTGCAACCTGGAGTATGGGACTCAAGAACATCTCCGAAGCTGGATCCGGCCCCCTCCTCCCCTGTCTAAAAGAGAACCCCCCCCCACCAGTTTTGTTCTAAAGTAACTGCATTTTGCGCTGCCCCCCCGAACCCCACTGATCCCAATAGGACTTTTCCCTTCATACCTAGAGGGGGCACCTCGGTGTTGCCGGTACTGTTGTGGGGCCGGGCGGCCGGGCTGGGTCCCTTCTTCATGTCCTCCACATCGCTATAGCGCCGGATCCAGTGGTTCAGCTCCTCGCGGTCAGCCTCCTGGCAGCGGCGCAGCACGGTGAGTGACCGGCGGGTCTTTTCCACCATGTCCATAATGCAGTTCAGCAGCTGCCAGAGGGAGGCTCCAAGTAAGACAGAGAGAAGCAGCCGGGCGTGTGCCCCCCTCCCCAGCCCCATCCTGCTGCCTTTAACCCCCCCCTCCACTATGATCAGGTGTCTTTTCCCATCACCCATCCATGCCACCAACTGTTGGGATCCAGGGGAGCCCGAGTGGCAGGGCTCCCTGTGGCCCACAGCCAGAAAAGCAGGAGCCTTTTAGGGGGCCAGGGCTGTGAGCTTCCCTGCCGTATCAGGTAAGGAGGAAGCTTAAAGGCTGCGCCACCGTCCTTCCGTAGGTGGTCTGTGGCCTCGGCCCACTGGAGAACCTTCCTAGGGCTCTACAGCTGCCAGCCATAAATGGGACCCGATGGTGCCACTTGGATAGGATGCCAGTGTTGCTTGCACTGCTCTCCGTTGCTCCCTTGGTATCTTGGCCCTGCCCTGTTAAGTGATGTCACTGGCCTCCTGGAAAACAGGGAATCTGGCTTCCTCCTACCTCCAGGGGCTTGCTCAGCCCCACCTGGAGTCAGGCGGCAGGATTTGGTACCTACGTTGTTGAGGTGCTTCCACTCCTCTGCCCACTCTCGGTCCGTTAGCCTGTGGTCAATGACTTCTTCCTGCCGGGAACTGTGCACTGCTGGAGGAGGAAAATGTGGCCATCAGGAGGAGGGCTCCAGTTGGACGTGGAGAGAAGAGAGACACTACCATACAAGAGACTACGGGAAGACAAGCTCTCAGGGTCGCCTCTCTCCGCTTCACCAGCATATTCTTTAAAATGTCTGGATTTAAACTGATTTTATCAAATGGCTTAAGCCAGAGATCACCGTTAGGACCAGAGAGGGACGAGAAGTCAGGCTGCTCAAGATGCCAGCTCTCCACTTAGAAGCGGAGCTGACTTAAAAGGTAAAGGATGTTAGTTTATCATAGCATGAGGTTCCCATAGCTCTGCAAGCTATTGATTAGTATGATTTTGCATAGAGGCTAGTTATTGAGAGGTAAACAAAGGACTTCCTTTGAACTGCACAGACATAGCAGCAGTGAAGGAATGCAGTCTCTGCAGAGTTAAAGTTTTCTTGCCTTCTATGTGCAATTTGGCCCTGGGAGTCCAGGAAAGGGGAAGGGTCAGCAGCCAGATCAGGCAGTCTGTGGCCTTAGGTCAAGGAGGTGTTAGCCAACAGCCAGCAGGGGTATCCCCACAACACACACACACACACCCCGGTCGCCTCCCCTCCCAGCCCGGGGCTCCATGGCCAACCTCTTCCATCACAGCTCACCGGCTTGCCGATGGCGTTCCCGTAGCTCCCGAGGGTCGGGATGCCGGTAGGTGTCCCGGAAGTGGTGGGCGATGGCCATGTCCTCGAGGCGATAGTGTTGGGGAGGGGGAGGCGTTGGGTGGGGCAGCCCGTTGGGCTGGTGGCTGAGCCCATTGCTGGGGCTGTAGCGCTGGGCCGGGCTCATGGTGCACGGCCTTTTGCTGAGGTGCTCCGGGTGCAGAGGGTCCCGATCCAAGCCGTTCTCTTTGGTCCTGTCCCAGGGAGGAGGAGAGGAGTGGCCGAGGGCCAAACGTAGCCCATTCCCCACCACCCTGTTTCCCCCCCCCCCACCGCCGTCTCCTCCTGGTTGCTTTCCCCACCAGACAGGGAGCTTCGTACCTGTCAGGGGTCCTCCTCTTTCCCCCCTCGCTGACCTCCAGCAGCAGCTCCGAGGAGTCGATGGGGGAGGAGGCGTTGGCGTCCAGCAGGAGCTGCTCATGCTGTGCCAGGTACTGGGCGGGCGTCTGCTTGGCCATGCGGGCACAGTGGAGGAGCTCGCGCTGCAGCAGGGGCAGGTTGGCCTGGAGACGAGGAGGAAGAGGAGGAGAGGAGAAGGCGTTAAGGGCAAAATGCACCTCAAAAGGAAATGCACAGGAAGGATGTCAAATCGATACCCTCTCTCCTTTTAAGCAGGGCTCCTGTTCTCACCCCAAAGGGTGGGGGGAAAGGGCTCCCTGAGTTCCTGACAGGAGTCGGTTGCGTTTGTCTCCCCAGGACGGGAGACCTCTACGAAGCGAAGCTGTGCAAGATTCCCTGCCTTCCTGCAAGAAGGAGGCAAATAGAGGTCATCTCCCCCCACCCCACAAGCCTGAAGGCCTCTGCCATGGGCACAAAACGTTTCTAGAGTCTCCTTCCTTGGATGAGAAGCGGTGCACGTGCGCCCACCCGCCAACCCCCAGGCAATGTGGTGGTGCCATGGGCCTGGGTTGCCGAAAACATCAGCCTTGCCACTGCAAAAAACAGCGATCTGTAAGCTTCAGGAAATTCCTTGCTTTCAACGCCACAAGGAGAATGTTCCTGTTTGTCTCCCATTGCTTCTGGGGATAAAAACAAGTGAGGATTCACTTCCCTTACTTGTGATCCAGCCATTATTACCTAGCCCCCCCCCTTTTGGGGGTTTCCTGGGAGGTGGTTTCCCAAGAAAATGGAATTCCTGAGCTGCTAGAGAATTTGGTGGTTTTGGTCTCTGGCTGCGGAGCCAGAGAGAGGTTGGGAGTTTGATTCCCCCCCCCCGCCCGGGCCTCCTTGACAAAGGCTGGATTTGATGATCTCCGGGGCCCCTTCTGGCTCTGCCGTGCTAAGATGATCCACATTATATGGAGCCTCGTTGTCTGCGAAGCGAAGCCACCCAGGGCTTTACTCCAGCAACAGCCGCAGGACCCAGTAAGGTGGGTATTCCCATCTCCAAAGCTCTGGATGGAGCACTTGTTAAATCATCTTCCTGGACGCTCTCTCCTTCGAGAAACCTGGTCAGTTTCTCACGAAGCTTCCACTTAGGGGGAAGAGCATCCACAGGAAAAGAAGCAATTAAGCAGCACACAGAGAGGGAGGGAGGGAGGGAGGGAGGGAGCCCCATAGCTTTTGCCGCCAGCCAGCTCTGGTTTCCTATTTAGGCTGCTGATCGCCAGCCAACTCCCCATCTGTTAGACATGTTAGAGCGTGAACGGATGAAACGCACCACGCTGGATTCCAGGAGAGCAAAGCATTCCCTCCGTCTCCCCTCGCCTCCCTTCTCCCTCCCTCTCTCTCTCCCTCGGCCCTGCCTGCCCTGGCTCCACATGTCAAGAAAGGCAAACAATAAAAAGAAATTTAAAAACATTGCTGGGAAAGGCAGGCTGGGGAGCTGCCTGGTTGCAGTTAGTATAGTGAGAAACATCTGGAGGTCAGGGTGGAAACAGCTGGGAGCAGGGTGCTGGAGACAAGGAGACCTAG